TCTTGCAATCATCATCATCTCTTTGCCTTTCTTTTTCTTCCTTTTTTGGCGGTAAAATGTCGCTTCCTCTTTTGTTAAGAAAATTAATCGTTTTCGCCTGTCGTCTCTAACTGGTTCACTTATCCCAAAACAGGAGTCCATAGCTTGGAGCGTTAAACTGCTCTTTGTTCCTGTTTGCTATCTGTTCTGTCCGCAAGAGATTATGATATAAGTACAAAAATATGTTCAAAGAAAAAAGTTAATTCGCATTAATAATAACGGCATTTTAAACCGGCTTTAAAATGGCCCAACATTTAAGTTTAATTATGTTCTTTTTCTATTTTATCTGGTCACCAACGTGTCATTGACAAAACAGATCGTAAGTATCTTCTTCTTTTTTTCTTTTTATTTACTATTATTCATTCATTTTCACATTTTGACGCACCACTCAGTCATTATGAGAGAGACACAGAGTTACAACGATTTTTCGTTATCTCCTTTTTCGAAAGATTAGAGTTGTAAGCTTTCCTGACAATGAATAGGGCGGGCATAGTTTCCGCCACAGTCACCATTTATAATATCATAGGTGACAATTTACTTCTTAATTTTGGTGCGAAACTTCAGCGTTAATTTCACATGTGAAATTACAAAATTGCCATGGTAACATCTCTTGTATCTCGATCAGAGCCAAAATGGCGTCGAGATTTAAGACGGTGACAGACACACGTACATACGTTAGTTGACCACTCCCCGTGGGGGCTTTTCAGGGCCAATTCCCACCCATTCCACCCCAAGGGAGGACATCCACAACACAGTATTCTCGTGCGTGGGAAATTAACGTGACCCTTAAAGAAGTTACGAAATTAAAAGAAGCGTCCGAAAATTATTAAAGGCACGAAGAATTCAAAAGGTATTTTTGTGAAGAAACTCAGAAAATTACGAACTTTAAAAATAATCTATGCTTTAAACGAAAACTATAGTCTTCTTCAAGTTCTCGGTTTTCGATAGAATAAACCAGTAACAGCAATTACGGTTGTGAACGTAATTTGTCACCCACGATATTAAAAGGTAATCAAATGGTTTTCTCGTGAAATTAGGAAATGATTTCACTTGCGTTTTGTCAAAATTCTGATAATTTCCCTCGCCTAAAAGGCTCGGGATATTTTCAGAATTTGACAAAACGGGCGTGAAATGATTTCCTAATTTCACCCGTCGCCATTTGATTACATATACTAACTGCAGCCAAGAGGAATACTTTGGCAAAGTGACCTTTTTACCAATGATGGCTGACATATGTCCAAGACTCTTTTCCTGTCAGACTTCCCCATTCAGTGCCGATATGGTCACTATTTGAAGTACTCAACAGTTGTGGCAAGTGTTCCGCTAACAAGACACTTTGCCTTAACCATACCAAGATCAAGAACTATGAAAGTAATGACAAATGTGCATCACTTACTAAAATGTCTCTCTTTCCCATTACCTACCTTGACTGAAAAACAGACGGTAAGTATGTGGTTTTCTTAATAGTAATTTTGGTGGGTTTAGCATGTATTTTCACTGCTTTAACTACTGCAGTAACCATCATGTAATATATATTTATATTTCCCTGTAATGTTCCCTTGGTAATAATAAAGATTACAATTTTCGTTTCACAAATATTATTAGGAACAAATATATGGATGAAAAATTATGATCACTAATAAACACGGTATTCTGATATTCGCCCAACTACCCAGGCAAGTTGTATTTGCCTAAAACTGCTTTGAGTCGTTTTGAACTGGGTTCTTTTAAAAATATCATTTCAGGGTGAACCATAAGTAGCTAAGGATCCGGTGTCGATC